AATAGTTTCAGCAATGAATTCTAGATTTATTACTAGTATGATCTTAACATACCATTTTCGATAAGTTATCTTTTCTAATATATTTATATTCACACTCTTTTGTATCTTCTTCAGTTTTAATTGACATTTTATCAACTGCCAAAAGTCATTATTTTATTGTTTTTATTTCATGATTAATTTCTCCTTGAAGGTCTTGCAACGACGCTTCCTTTTCTTCAATTATCATATTTTCTGTTCTATTAAGAATTTCTTTTAAAGAATAAGGTTGAGCCAGAGAAAGTTTCTTCTTTTTTGGAGTTCTTTCTAAATATTGTTCATTTGCTTTCCTTTTTTATATTGAATATTGAATTTGATCTATAAGATCAAGAATTAATGTTTGTGACTTAATCAAAGTGTTTATACTTAATTCATTCATATCTAAAAGGGATTTATAATAATTAACTAGTGCTTGACAGTGTGATGAACAAGCTTTATCCTGTTTAGATCAATGTTCATCAGATGAATTACTACTTATTTCATTAATATTACCTAATTTTTCTTCTTCAGGAACTATATGAAAAATTCTCTTTCATCATTTTCTGAATTTAAAACTATTCTTAAAATCTTATCTTTAAGATCATCATCAGCAATTGATTCATTTATTTTTTGTTTAGTTAAATATTTAGAAGCAATATGTCCTTCTTTTCCACACTTTAAACACTTATTTGGTTTTTTACCTTTTAATTTAAGTTTTTTTAGTGCTTTTGTTTATTTTATCTTTTTCATAATTCCTTTTATGGAATTTTCTTTTTTTTCTTATATGGTTTATTGTAAGATTTTCTTTTAGATGAAGATTTATCTTTTGGAATATCAAAATCATAAGCAAATTGATTACAAAAATCTCCAAGTTCTTTTCTACCGGTTAACCTTTGTTTTTAAGTTTAGCTTTGAGATTTAAATCATTACAGAGAGCTAATCCTTCTGAAATACATTCAGAAATTAGTTCTTCATAAGTATAATTTTCATAAGGAATTTTCAATCCTCCATGTCTCTGTTTTAATTAAATTCATATTTTTTCAGCAAATAAACTAGACAATCCTGACATGAATTTTTCTTTCCAAAATTCATTATTAGCGTCTATTCTCAATAAGACTTTTGCTAAAAATATATCTTTATACCACCTCGAAAGTGTTAAAGTTCGACATCTTAAATTCATTAAAAGTTCTTTACTTTTATCTATACTTTGTAAGCCTATCCCTACAAAGTGTTTTAATATTGTTTGTTCTTCTTGAGTGATTATACGCTTATCTTCGGCTGTTATAATTTTTACTGCATTTAAAATTTCATGTTTTTGAGTTAAACTTAAATAGTCATCTCACCAGCCTCTTAATTGGCCAGTAAATCCTGCACTTATAAATTTAGCAGTAGTATGGTCTGAATTACGATTAGCTTTACAAATAAAGGCATACATTAAAATTTTATGTAAAACTTGATGAATTAAATATTCTGACATGTCATCAATATTCCATTTATAAATAGAAGAGACATAATGACCAGTTTGATCAATAATTTTTTTTTTCTCATACACAATATCTTGAGAGGTTGATCTTTGATAATAAGCCCTCATAAGGAGTGCTTGAGAATACATGTTAATTTGCCTTTTAGGTTTAGAATACCCTATTTTATTTATCTCTTCAGATTATATTTGTGGTAAAGAATCTTCAAATTGTTATATTTCAGTTTCAGATTGCTCTACACTTTCTGTCTGTAAAATTATATTTAATGACAATTTTTTTTAATTCTTTTTAAGTTCATTTATGAACTCATCTTCAATTTTATTATGAAGATTGAATGTTGATGTATCTATAGGAGGCTTAATGTTTACTTTTCAATTTCAATCAATGTTTCCTTTAAAGATTGAGAAGACAAGGCCGGTTTGGTTTGCGTTTCAAAAAATAGTATCCAAAAATAATTTTTAAGAAGAGTTTTAAGAAAGAGATTTTGATATTTTTTGAGATAAAAAATTTATTTGGTTAGATAATTTCAAAAACAATTTTACAGTAAAGAAAATAGTAAAACCTGTTTGGATAGCCTAAATATATGTTTGAACAGTAATTCAAATATTAATAAAAAAATATAAGAAAGTTATTTTTAGATTGACAATTTCATAAAAAAAAATTCAATAATCCAAACTTTAATATATATATATATATATAAACACAGTACATATATATATACACACACAGTAGAGAGAGAGAGAGAGAGAGAGAGAGAGAGAGAGAGACGGGGCTTCGGTGCTAAGATCTGAGATTTGTGTCTCCAGTGTCTTAAGATCTGAAGAATAGATCCAACGTCTTCAGATATGAGATTTGTGCTTCGGTGCTCCAACGTCTTCAAATCTAAAGAAGAAGAAGAAAAGAGAGAGAGACGTTGGAGTAGAAGATGTCTGGAGAGAGAGAGGAAGAAGAAAAAAAAAAAGAATGAAGAAATTTGCTGCTAAGAGTACTCGAAAGACAAACCTCATTAAAGTTCAAAATTGTTCTCTTTGTTTCCAAAATTTTCAAAGAAAACTTTGAAAACAAGCTATGCTTGTTTTTTATTTCTTTGACTCAAATCTCATTTTTCCCTTAATTTTTAAAACAAAAATGCTAAACAAACAGGTTTTGGGTGTTTTTAAAATTTTGAGAACAAAAAACTATTTTCGGATCACAAACCAAACATGGCCAAAGTTTCTTGTTTTTGTTATTTATTAAATTCTCAATTATACTCAAGTATTGTCCTACCACTTATAGACAAACATTAGTGTAGTTATTTTGTTTGATAGATATATTTCTCCCAATGTCATAATTATTTTTTGGAGAATAACAAACATACATAATTATGTCTTCTGACTCATTTGAATTTGAAACTAACTTTACGGCTTCATTTGTTGGAGGATAAAAATTATTGATATTTTTACCATCCAATGTTTCCCATTTATGCTGAAAATTTTCAATTACATTTAATTGATTGAGAACCAAAAAAACCTATCACACTATATTAAATAATAATTTTTCTTTCCTTCATTTATTTGATTACATCATTTAAAATTTATGTTTATCCATTATTTTCTTAAAAATATCCATTGTATATTATCGTATATTGATAATGTTTAAAATAAAAAACATATTAAACTATAAATTAATCAAATATTAATATAAATAAGCATCTGATAGAAATGAGTGATGTGATTTTTTTTAGGGAAAAATGTGTAGGGGATAAAATTCAATTTATGAGATATCTTTTATATATATATATATATATATATATATATATATATATATATATATATATATATATATAGTGCATATCAAAAAATTAAATATGACTTATTTGATCGTAAAATCAATCTGACAACTATATATATAATGATAGAATTTAGATTGAACTTTATTTCTTCATAAAACTATATAAATATAGTAAAAAATTGTATGTAAGTACACTACTAATAAAATGAATCCAAAAGTATTTAGAAATCAAATACTACCAACAAAAGAGTCCAAATGAATTTAGAAATCAAATACGAATAATAAAAGAGTTCAAAATAATTTGAAAGTTGAATAGGTATAAAGAATGAAAATTGGATGAAAGTAAATTTGTGGGTATAATTAACTTTATAATAATAATTAGAGATAAAATAGAAAATTAAATTTTTTGTATAGATGTTGACATTTATAAGTAGTATAAATATAGATTATATACATATAGTTGTCAAATTAAATTCTAAGTTTCAATATATATCATATTTAATTTTTTTCGTATGCAATAATATAATATTATTATAATACAAATAATAGTATTGCGACTAAATCAATCACTTTGATAAAAAATGTAATAAATCTATAATATAGTTAGATGTACAAATACTCAATAATGACAATTTGACAATGAAGATTTATTATAAGCAAAAGATGAAATGTCTAATTGGTTAAAGAGATACCAAAACAAGTAACAAATTAGACATTCAGAGAGAGATATAATAGATTAATAATTAGATTTAAAATTAATCATTCGACACAATTTATTATTCAATTTAATTCCATATTGTTTACTCCAAAAAAAAACAAAGGATGACACATGGAGAAGATCTAACAGTCATGAAAGAGTTTGTGAGGGTCCATATTTGTCAGAGCAATTAAGAAAGTGAGACTCTAAAAACCCTAAGGAACAGGAAGACGTAATATCATGAGCCGTCAGTTAAATTCAGTTAAAAAAAAAAGACCATGATTACGGTCATGACTGAAAAAGATGGATGGCTTTCGATTGTTAAAGTTCATCCCTATAAATAACCAAGACAAGACTACAAAAAAAGAATTTATGATCAATCTCAAAAAACTCTACAAGATTCTCTTTACTTGTTTCTTCCTTTCAAGTGATCTTTATTGCTTTAATTTAATGTTAAGTACGGTATTCAATTCATCTTCCAAAACTAGTCTATCTGTTGCTTTGCATTCCAATTTTTTCTTTCTATGTTTCAGTCCATTATGTGAAAATTACTTAAAATCCTTAAACTCTAAGTCATAAAAAAGAACTCAAAGGTAACTTTACGTCTCACTATATTTACCTGAACAATCACAATTTAGAACTTCATATCAGTTCGATCAGGTAAGGTCATATGTGTTTAAATTTTAAGTCTAATTGGACTTTGGCATGCCTACAATCAATAAATATGTCAAACACATATATAATTTTTATAAAAAATTATTATTTAAATATATTCACATAGAAGGCACATTGTGTATTGCTAATTCAATTAAAATAGATAATAATGACAGAATGTGCCTCATGTACTGAATCAATGTATTTTACTAGAAAAAAAATTTGATAGAACAACCACCCAGCTTTACTTGGTAAACAAAATTTGAGAAAAAAACTGCCCGAGTGCCATAGTGATGCTACTGTTAAATCCCAACAATTTGGCTGTCACATGTTGCCTACCAATCAAGTCCTAATCAAGAGAAATGTCACCATATCTATTCCTTCCTTTTTTCTTGTTGTTTCCACGGGAAAATCATAAGATTTTGATCTCAACCAGTCACCAGTAATTGAATCAAAATAATCTAATGCAAAGGCTTAAGGGTTCCAACCCCAAAACAGCACACGAAATTTAGATGAACTAGAAAAGTAAACTATACAGAGTGTACAAGTGCAACATCTGAGGAAGGTTTGGTTAAGTTTAAAGCATATGAACATTACATACAGTCACGCCCACACAACAAAGAGAATGGCTTATTTGGGGTAAAGAACAATTAGAGCATCTTCATTCTGGTTGGAATCTGAATGCCAGCCCTCCCCAAAAGTTCTTTAGAAGCACGCATTGCCATTGAAATAACTTCGCCCTATTAATTCACAGTTTGCATCCATATGACAATCATGCAATTTATAAGCACAGAGGATATTAAGGGGAAAATAGTATCGGTTGGCTACTTTGGTAAATACAATCTGGAAGATATAATCAACAGGAGTCCAAATAATTATCTTTCCCGCAAAAACAATTCTCCAACCTTTCATTCCACTTTCTGAACTTAAAATATAAACAATATTTTTTATTATTTTCATTGCCATAAGTTGCGTGTGTAAAAAAACATATAAGATTAGATTACACGATATAATAACCATTAAATTAAGCACATATCTTCTTTGTGATTATTGTTTCCATTCCCTTTCTGATTGGACATGGAATATTAATTTCTCCTTTTTTTTAAAAAGAAAAAAAGGCCATATTCATTAGTCTAATTAACTACATAAAACTTAAAGAGGAAACAGAATGTTCATGTGGAAATGACAAACTAATTAAACACTAGTGACATGGTTCAAATCAGAAGCTTAAAGACAAGGGAGGGATCACTTCGGCCATGGGCAGAAGGAATACATGAAGCCAATGTAAAAACCAGAAAATAAAAAAAAAATTAAATGGGAAGGTTAGAACTTAGAACCGAACAACAAAAATAGGATTTTGTGTAGTCAGCCCTACATGCTTGGTTTATGAGTTTGTATCTTCAACTCTTTCCTTCTTCAATGTACCTTAATTAACTTTCTATGCGTTTTCAAGGAAAAGGATTCATCGGTTGATCTAAAGTGGCATCTGATGCGGACTTATGATGATCTAAAGTGGCATCTGATGCGGACTTATGAAAAAAGTAAATGCATATATGCTTTTGAATGAAAGAAACACAATTGGAATACCTCATCTACATTAACGACCTTCTGATCCTTCATAATCCAGCGACCATTGCACATAACAGAGACAATATTTTCAGTTCGCATGCAATATACAAGGCTGGAAATGCTGCATACAAGTGGAAAAATACAGTAAATACATCTAATGCTATTAGTAGACTTCTATAAGCATAATGGTAAATAAGCAAAGAATGGAGCAGCTTGATTTGAAATTTTGAATAAGGTAGTAATCAAGCGAAATACGTAAATAAAAGTTTTAAAAAAAACCAAAATGATTATAGTCAATTAAGGGACTTGATTATTTTTGGAATTGAAAAGAATAGCTTAATAGGATGTAGACGTGAGTTTGCAATTTCATACTGAAGACTTTGCGAAAGGAACACCAAATTTTTGCCAATGCAAGTGAATTTTAACAATACCATTACACAATTTTGCCAAGAAGAAGATACTTTTCTGACACGAGATCAAATAAAACAATGTTGGAGAATAATATAGACATATGACAGTGTTACAGAAATTGTCTTTAAAGAAGGATTCATACCAATCATGCACAGGAACCATAGGCCAAGAGAAAGGATTGACTACTATCATGTCAGCCTGCCAAATGACGAATGAAACTATTAATCATTCTCAATTGTCTATCATATCACCAAGAAGAGCTAATATTGGGAAGTAGTGAGAGTTAAGAAGCACAATAGCGTTGGAAATTCCGTATGCTAAGAAAAAAGAGTATAATATTGTCATAGTACATATGCATGTCCAACTAAATTCCATGCCCATTAATCATTCTAGAATTAGCACAAAAGATACAGAAGAAAACAATTCCCTTGCCAAAACACTGGTGGCACCTCGGAAGCAGAATAAGGTTTTCTAACGGTTCAATAAAGATGTGGTAGGGTTTAGGGCAAAACCAACCTTTTTCCCAACCTCAAGTGATCCTATTTCATGGTCCCAGAGTACAGTTTCTGCACCATTTATTGTCACCATTTTAAGAATTGTTTCAGCAGGAAGAGCTGTAGGATCTGTGGTTCCTTTTGCATAAACTTCTCGGCCTTTGTTGATCAGGGAAGCAAGGTACATATCATCAACTGTATAGAAACAAGTCGACATAAATGCTCAACCACTGCAATTTCTCCGAGTCTTCTGGGAACTACCAGACAGATTATCTAATCAAGAAGCAGTCTTCTTTTATGATTAAATTACAATAACTAGGAAAAGCTATTACTTCACTTATCATATAAGTCATACAAAGCCATTAAATGGTCATTTACGGAAACACTTCCATACTTCAAAAAACATGTCTTGATGGACTCATCAGTGAGACCCTCCAACTCCAAAGTTTGGTTACCGAAAAGTCTCAATAAGTTTGCATGCCATTAATACCTATTTGCAGTATACATCCTTTGCTGTACGGCGGCCGGTTTTTTTTTGGGAGGTGGGAGGTGAGTAGCTCCCGAAGACTGAACAAGCTATTTCATGGTTATGCTGCAAGCTGATCACTTGAGTTATAAGACTTCAATTCTGTCATCCAGGCTAACATAAATTGATAGATATTTTGATTGAGGAAGAGAATCCAAGATGAATGCTTTTTTCATTCAGCTATGCACAGACATGGATCCATACTCGCGTAACCAGTCGATGGACTGGGGAATTGCATGGATGACGAGACCAGCCTAACCTAAAATACTACTGCAAGCTCATCTCTCCCAAAATAAAGTAATGTAAAACAAGGATTTTAGAATTTAAACAAACCAATGCTCATTCTATTATTCGACGGTGCCCCATCTGTTCCCAGAGAGACACAAACACCACCATCAAGCATTTCCTTAATTGGTGCAAATCCAAGCATACGCATGGCAGCAGCAGGACAGTGAGACACTTTAACACCAGCCCTTGCGAGAAAACCAATCTGAAAAGAAGATATGAGATTGTAATCATGACAGCAACACTGTGCAGTACTCTAACATCAGCGAAAGAAGAAAAACAACTGGCGTGACCAAGTAGCTCAATAGTGCAATCTTAAGTTTCATTTATGAACTTAGCTTCACAATGGAGAAAATAATTTCTAAATCAGCACCCACCTAACAAACTTACTTACAAATGGATCTTCAAAGAAGTACAACCAATGGATTTTCTTTCTCTTCTTCCAACCCACTTCCCAAGAGCCTTTTTTTTTTTTTTGTTGTTGGTGGGAAGAGGGGGGGAGGGTGCCGATGGATGGGGCCCACTTGCTCAACACACAGTCGATTGAAATCCACACAGTGCCGATTAAATTTTTATGAATACCTTGTAACTTGTGGAAATATCATTTAAATCATCAAAGAAGCAGTGCAAGCAGAAAAGGTTACCCCTCAGTGGGTAAGAAATATGAGAAGAAAGCAGCTTAGTAACCATCAAAAGCTCCTTCCCTATATAATGAAGACAAAATCCTCTACCAATGTTGTCTCACATGTTTCAGTGAAGGATTAAAAGTTACCTGCAGTAATGCGTCTATCCCCACTTGACCTACTCATTCGTATGGAAAAAGAAAAAAGAATTTAAATCCTAAATGAGAACAATGCAGGTACATAGGGCTTGACTATGTTTTGACAATCTTTAACGTTATAATGCTATTATTCTGTAGATAGGTTAAACTTGTTGTATACTAGGTACATGGCTCAAGTAATGCATTTTGAGCTGGTTTCAACAGCGGAGATAGGTTAAACTTGAAGTGATGCATTTTGAGCTGGTTTCATCAGCAGGCAACACGGAATGAATCTGTAGTACCTCATTTTCATTGACCCAAACTGTATGAGCTGCCACCAAATTGCTTTGTAGGAAATCGATCCTCTCGAGATAGGTAACCGTTCCATGATCAACTTTTCGAGTGTTCACCACGAGTTGATTCTCATAAGGTATCTCTGCAACATGCTAGATGCTGAAATCGTTAAGCAATGAAAAACCAATAACTTCATTTATTTGAATACATTCGTTGACATCAAATATCAGTTTCTTTGATTCCTGATTTCAGATACTGATAATTAAAAACTTCTCAAATGAAAATTAAATTAAAGAAGCAAGTAATCTGAACCCATTTTGATATTTGATATGCACTAATGTCATCATGCTTGAAGTCTGCAACAGGGTACAATTCTAAGAAAAATGAACCATGTAAACGAAGATAGGACACCAAGAGTTTCTTAGACTTAAAAAGAATTATTAAAGACAAGTTAGAAACTTCCCAGGCCCAATCTTCCAATCTCTAGATTCGATACGGTTATAGATTTGCCTAAGTAAGTAAAGTAGTACATAAACAAGAAAGAAAACTAATTAGGGTCATCACCTAGTTTGCTGCCCAAAAATTCAAGAATGCCAAGATAGGTGGACCCAATGCTTTCATTCTAAGAAGCAAGAACACTTCTAAAAAGGCAATGCGTCCATGTTAGAGATGTGTTAGACATAAAAGTTTCTGATAACTCTTTGGTTGTATCCATATTTAAAAAATAAAAAATCCTACTTTTGAAAACATATTTCACATTTTTTGGACACTACAATATGGAAGTTGGGGTATGACTTTCTCATAGCATGAAGAAAAGAGTAATTAAGGCCATATCAAATTTATTAGCAACTTTTTTATAACTTTTAAAGCAAAAGCAAAAGGAAGATCTATAAAGATGCAGTAAAAGTAGGGGCGTGGGAGGATGATAAAAATCATAATAATTACTATTATTTTGATAAGAAACAAAACTTCCATTAAAACGGAATATGTATTTTGGCTATGCTTTTCTGCACACTATATGGGGGATTATTAACTATTATGATTTAGAGGTTAATGATTTCGTGTTACATGATTGATATAAGATTGTTATATAAATTTATATACACAAATATACAAAATAAATAACGTCATATAATTTTCGTGTCTAGTGTCTAGACATAATTGTTTCCTACATTTTTTAAGGATTTTCCATGTCGATGTACCCTGGTCAACCTGTCTGTGTCTCATATCTGTTCAATGCTGCTTAGATTTTACCACTGGATCATCTTTTTATGAAAAAGGAGTTTCCTGACTATGTGTAGAGCATGAAGGTTTCAGACAATGACAATGCTCAAACACCTATCCCTACCAACCTCTCAACAACCGGTATCCAACAAAAGACTTCAATGAGAAGCTAAGACCAAATGAATGCGGGCAAGAGCAATGACTTTCTTGATTCATTCTTTTTTTGGATAAAGGTGTAGAAGCTCATTCTTTAAACACCACGGGGGTACCCCCCCTCGCACTGCTTCCCTCGAAGAGATCCTCTCAATTGCCGAGGGCTCGCAACAAAACTTATGATTTGTTATACTGTTTGTGCCCCATTTAGAAATGCACAAAATGTATTGCATATGCCTCCAAGTTACAAAAGTTTGATTTCATTTTTCCTTTGGTCATAAAAGCTCATACGAATGAATTAGAGATTAGTGAAACCCTAATTGTTGTGTACAAGGATGAAAGCACCATTCTGAAAGAAAGACATTGCACATCTTCAGTATGCTATATATGAGTAAGATGATCGGCACAGCAAAAATTGAAGAATAGTACCATGATAAATTCAAATGTTAAGCAGTGAATATAGGAATTTCAAACTAACTCTGTTCAGCCCACACAAGCCAAAAATGAATTTTTAAGTAGCTTCTTAGTGAGAGAAAACTTATCATGCATATGACAGGCTATGAGAGGAATAATTCCTCAAAATGCTTTTACATCATGGATAGGGAGGTTTTCCTACCATGTGGATTCCAGTTTTAAGTTCTTTTGCTGTGTCCCTTGTTTCAAGAAGTAAACGATTGGTTGAATTCATAATTTGCCTTATTCCAAGCCAAATTTTGATGCGCCCATCTGCTTTATCATTGTGCTTCTGGTACAGTTCCTTTTGCAACTGCGCCCTTAAAGTAAGAAGATTAGCTTTTATCAGAAGATGCTTTGTACAATGATTCAATAAATAAGAGCATACAATAAATAGTAATTTGTAGGAGAGACTTGAACCCATTCACCAGTGAGCTGTAAACAAGAGCCATCAACAATACACCCAACTGTGTAGATTGGAAAACAAAAGTTTTACAAAGCAAGATGTTCAAAGTGACTTGAGGCTAACTTTCAAGCACCATAGTGAAATATATACGTGAGGAAAATCAATGAAGTAGGAAAAAACTCAAGGAGAAACTAAGATGCAACTCTTTTATCAGGCATTGTGCAATGATGCAAACCAAGAATTGATACATTATATCTTCCTCCAACATCAAAACAAACATGCAATTGATTATGATACAATATAGTCCTGAAGCACGTATACGCTAAACAAAGATGCAAGAAGCAGCTAAACTAAGCAAAACAAAAACTTGAAATCAAGCATGTGCACTTGATACATCCTCAGGTTACAGTCAAAAGAGTCCAAATTATCTATACTTCAAAAGTAATCATGTCAACAATGAAGTCCTACAGATTCCTCATTAAGAACAGAACGACTATGCTCAATTCACCACCTTTTATTTTCCATTATGTGTCAGTGTCACGAATGCATGCTAGCTTGTGATTGTTTAGCTGTTTATTAAGGACAACAACTACAGCGAAATCCTATCTTGCTGTACAGATAAACCAATGATATGAAGGTGGCATAAATAAGCCATTGCTTAAATAGAAACTCATTATTGTATCACATTTTAGTAGAATCCAGGTTACTCTCCTTGTAACTCATGGCACTGTAATACTTAAGGAATGGAACCACGGTGAATCGACCTGAATACATTCCTCCGTAGTCCTAATGCCCCAAGAAGGAGGCAAACCTTCACCAGCATCCATAGTTGACTGCGTCAAACACGCTCGCAAGCCTAGTAACTCCACTGCCCTCGCCATTCCTGACACATGCTGTCCTCCTGCTTCCGCAAAACAGGTCACCTAACTCAACAACCATCAATCAACGTCAATAAAGAGAATTTCAACGAAAGAATCACAGAACTCGAAAGCAAAATTAAACAAAGAACTTAAACATGAACACTGTTGAATAATACTTACCCCGGAGTGAATGAGCTCAATTCCACAAAGTAAAGTGGAAATATATGAATCTTCCTCCGTCATATTGGACTCATAAGGCCAAATACGATCGTGTAACCAAGTGATCAAATCAACGTCATCCGCTATGCCTCTGGCGAGTTGTTGAGAAGTGTGAACGTGCGTGTTGATAAAACCTACGATTTAACCATATCTGTTATTTTTGTGTAATATAAATAGGTATCTTCATGGAGAGAGAGAGAGAGAGAGAAAGAGAGACCAGGGAGGAGGAATTGACCGCGGAGGTCGATGATTTGGTGAGCAAGAGGAGAAAATTGGTTGAGGATGTCGGAGGATTGACCGATGGCTTTGATCGTATCGTTTTCGATGGCGATTGCGCCGTTTCGGAAGACGCGGCTTTCGGTATCCATAGTGACGATCAGAGCATTGTGGAGTATGAGGAGTGAGTCAGTCTTCGAGGTTTCCATCACCTTTCTTCTCTGTTCTGTCAAATGTTCCAGCTGAGAGCGCGAGAGAGAGAGGAGCCAGTAAACATGACAAGATGAAGTCTAAGACATTGAACTGATGGGTCAGTATTACTGGTAGTGGGTTGGTACAAGATCGAGTCTGTTGATTGCTGGCTTAGGAAGGTGGTGTTTCAGCCTATGAGCTATGGGCTTAGGAAGGCCATCTCATTACTAAAGCCCAATCATTGGCCCACAACTATGATGTTGCATCCCCTTCTGAAGTGGACCCGAGTATCAACTTCTTCACTCTAGACACCACTCTTTCCTTGGACTATGTTGGATTTAGATCGAATGCTCACAAACTCGTGTCAAGCTTAACTTGGGAAATAATCTAAGCTCAATAATTAAGATTGATAAATTTCAATCAAACTCAATTTCTCAATAAAAATCTTCCAAAGTTGATTACCAATAAAATCAAACCTTAGAATTTTAAATTTGTAAAAAGTAAATTTGTTATAAAAAAGTAAAGAAGTATGCACGATCTTAAACAATTTAGGGAAATGTTTGGAACTGTTAATTTTATTTTTTTTTGGTATGAGTTATCTAATAAAATTAAAATTATAAAGAAAGAAAAATATTTGAGCCAAAAAACTCAACTGCATATTCCTTAAATGTGATTAATTATTAATAAATTTAAGAAAAATTTGGAGGTCAGTCCCCCTTTGTGGACTTATTTGATCATAAATTTATCAAGGAAACTTGTGTAATATTAAGTCTATTTTGATCTCTATTGTTCAAAATACCTTTATTAGGTATATTTAATTACAACAAATTTGAAAACTAACAACTCTTAAATATTAAAAGTTTGATTAACATTAAAATTTTCTCTCTCATCCATATATAGAATATGAGAAAAATATTTGAGCCAAAAAACTCAACTGCATATTCCTTAAATGTGATTAATTATTAATAAATTTAAGAAAAATTTGGAGGTCAGTCCCCCTTTGTGGACTTATTTGATCATAAATTTATCAAGGAAACTTGTGTAATATTAAGTCTATTTTGATCTCTATTGTTCAAAATACCTTTATTAGGTATATTTAATTACAACAAATTTGAAAACTAACAACTCTTAAATATTAAAAGTTTGATTAACATTAAAATTTTCTCTCTCATCCATATATAGAATATGAGAGATTCAGATAATTTTAAGACAAAATATAAACACAACCAACAGACAATGTAATCTCAACATAAAAGACAATTCAGATTATCTCAAAAATTTTGATCTAACGCTCTACCGTGAGTATTGAATTTTGTTTTCTCACCCAACAACATTTTCTGACTCATGTCTTTTTCTCAATCTCTCACGCCTGATCTTTTTCTCCCAATATCATCTCATATACAACTCTAGACTCTTATTGTTCATTTACCCCTCTCTCTCTCTCTCTCTCATACTCATACAATGTCTCTCTCTCCCTCCTCCCTCAGTCTCTTCTCTCAGTCGCACCTCTTATTTTCTCTCTCTCTCTTTCTACGCAGAAAACACACACAAAACAAAAACACTCACATATGCACTTAGATCCTACTGTGTTCACTTTTACTTCTTGGAGCCCCTAAGGTCAGGTTTGTATTTACATCTGCTATTGCATTTAGAATTTCAGTATGTTTCGCTTTTTAGTTTTTTTTGTTGTATTTCTCCGTTTGCTATACTCCACTTCATCTGAATTCTTTGTTATTCATTTTGTTTTATTCATGCTTGGTAGTCTTTGTTGTCTTTGCCTCAAATCATTTATGTGATCTATTGATTTTAGGTAGACTGAGATAGGTTTCTTCCATTTGAGCTTCTAAACATTTTCTTGATTTTATCAACTCTTATATATGCCCATTATTTTGGGCCTCATTCTGTTTATTTATGCATTGGTTTTTCAATTTTGTTTGTTTTCAATTTTTTTTCCGTAGTTGAATTTTGATCAAAAAGCAATTGAGTGAAGGGGTTGGATCTTTGTATTCAATTGTTTTAGTTTGATAAAATTTATAGCATAACATGTGTTAGATAAAATGTCTTTATGAGTGTCTTTCCATAGTTTGATTAGATCATTTGATGATCCCCTTCATGATTGACTAGCAAAAATCTTTGGATTGTTAATCAAATTTCATCCCTTTCCCATTTAGGAAATACGCAATACTCGAACCCCATAAACCTCGTCGGCGTTTCCCCCTGATCGCCGCAGTTTGTCTTCATACCTTTGTCCGTAGCGGAGAGTTGTCGCCGATCAGGTTATCACTTTTCTTATCCTTCATTCTGCAACACATTCATACACGAATAGTCACACACACAAGCACACAACAAGATACTCTCTCTCTCTCTCTCTCTCTCTCTCTCTCTCTCTTGACACACACATACATAGTTGATTTGGCAATACACACGCAGGCACAAGCAAATATAGGATATTCACATTCTCTCACATGCACACTTTCATAGTTACAGACACGCACAGTCTGTCCATAGTTTCATTGGGTTTGCATAATAGAAGTTCTCATTAGAAATCCAAATTATTGCAATTAACCTCGAATGTATATAAATTCGTGAATATGGGGCACCTGGAATTAATTGGGGAACTGAATTTATTAATGCAATTTGTGCTGAGAAAAATCGAATGTATATTTAGAATCTGGATTTGGGATTTTTTTTGTTCTAAACTTGATTATGTAGATATGTTGAATAGATAGTTTTGGTTTTGAGATACTTATCAATTTCTAATTTTGGCGTTAAGTTAATTCTATGGTTGTTGATTCAATTTCTCTGATATATTGATGCAGATACTATTTCATACATAACATTGGGGTAATTTTGATTATTGAATCGGGATTTTGTTTGCGGTTACTGCTACCCCCCCCCCCTCTCTCTCTCTCTCTCTCTCTTTTGCTGTTACTATATTTCGCTAAACAATATTCCAGATTTGTTTAATATTCTAGTAGTCCAGGTTGGTTTAATATTCATGTTTTTTCCTATTGTTTCATCTACTATCACTAAAGATTTGTTTATGTTATTGATTTGTGTACTATCAAATTTATCTCTTGTCCCATAAGCGTCGTCTCACTCCTAAACAGGTCAGTAATGGTAGACTATTTACCCACTTTACAGGGTGCTTGATTCAATAATACGCATCTAAGTATCATAAGACACACTTTTCTTTTAAATAATCCTTAAAGAAAAATCATATCTAGCAATATTCATATTCATATACACACTTCTTTTTTGATGCCTGAACAGAACCCATGCTGAATCGATAATGTAACTACTAATTGTTTCAATTATATGATTGTTAATACAAAAAATTATATCTAATGCATTTATTATTAAATGAATTTCTTTTATACCATAGTAGCAACAAAAAGGATGGCAATTTCTATTATTTAGGTATTAATGAAGTGTGTACTCATTTTAATCAGTATCGTAGTTGTCCATGCATTTAATGGTAAGGCAGTAAATAAAAAGCTAACGCAGGGATTTATAGTGATTCGGTCCGGATAACCTACTCTACTCTCGTAAACGGCAACGGTGGCCTAAGTCTTTTATTAATGGGTGAAATCTCCGGAGAGAGTATTATAGTGCTTGAAGAAGGAGAAAGGTGGGTGTACAATGAGAGGTGTAGAGGCTTCAGAGGCGTGCCCTCAATACTGAGAGAGCGTACATTATATAGTTTGGGTAAGGCGGTGACGTGAGTAAAAGGTCTTCCACAATTTTGGTAAGTACAATCTCAGTAGGATTAGATCTCCGTCGCTCATATCCCTATTCCGTCGCTTGTGTCCCTATTCTGTCGAAGGATGATCCTGATCTTGAGCTTGGACTTGGACTTGGAGCTTGACCTGGATTAGTCTTGGATTTGAATTAGAGTGAAAAGGGTGAAGGAGAGGGCTAGGGGGTAGCCTTGGGTGGCGCCTGGCTTGGGTGACCCTTAGGCGGCGCCCCTTTGGTTCTCACTTGGGCGTTGGCCTTTGGCTTGGACTTTACTTGACTCTTTCTTGACTTGTAAGCAGGTCCAATTCTTTTTAGGCTCCGGTAATTGGGACTCCTTTTGATGGGTTGACCCAGCTTTGATTGTGCTTTCTCGGTTTAAATTAATTGGGCTTGGCCCAATCAATTTTGGACTCATCAATGTGTATATATATATATACACACTAGCAATAACCCGTACTTAAAGGCACGATACAATTTGGAATTAATCAAACACAAAAAATGACCGCATGTATCGAAGCGGTCATGCTTCGCGGTCTCTCCATGTGTTGGTACATGTGCCAATCTGTTCATGCTTCGCAGTCGCCTCCTCATCCTTCCGTCTGGTTTCATTGACTTGAATCGAAACGGTCGCCTCCACCTCTAGATCATCTCAGTGGCATTAGTGCATCATTTATTTCTCCTCTTCTCATGCTTTCACTGTCTCACTATCATAATCTTAGCCCTCAAGTTTGATATTACCTTTCTCTCTGTATTCTCTTTTTAGATCTAATTTTTTATTCCACTATTTTTTGTTATTTTATATTTCTGGTTGTTGTAGCATGTATTGATTATTTGCATCACTGGTTTTATGAGGTTTATTCGATCTAAAAAAAAAAAAAGATTTATTAGGTTTGTCAGGGTTGAATCTAGAATTTTGGTATTCAATCATCCAAATTGAATATTGATAGTATGAAATGTGATTCTAGTTTTTAATTTGAAATTTAGCAAAAATCTTTGGTCTGAATTTTGGGTTTTTGTTTGATCTAACATACATTAAAATGATTATTTTTATACTTACTATATATTTTTAGCATATTTATTATAGTTAATAATTATTTTTATTTTTTTATTATATGACCAGTCTAACTAGTGACACAGTGGTTGAACCACTGACCTGGTGACCCGGTCTCTTAATTGGGTTGACGATTGGGCCGAGTTTAAAAACTATGCCTGTAACGCTAATTACACAATCCAAAGTGACATAGAGGCTTAGTATCAACTAATAATATACAAAGAAACCAACCAGATTCAACCACCAAAAAAATTAATTTCAAATCCAAACAGAAATTTTCAATAATAAGGAAACATAGCAAAGAAAGACAAAATAACTAAACGTGGCAACAATACCCAATTTT